CCTAGCAAGCAGCACCACCCACAGTGGGGCCTGATCATATTAGGAAAGTGTTGCAGGCTCATCGGGGCTTGCACTTGGGACCCTGGAGTCCCTGATCCTGTTCCCACCTTCCCTACTGCCCAGAAATGCACATGGTGTCCCCTCCCCGGCACCGTTTGTTAAAGAGACTGTCTTTCCTCCAGTGTATGTTTTTCACTCCTTTGTCAAAAGTCAGATGGTTGACATAGCACACTGCTTCATTCTTTTTTCTACATTTCCTAATTCTCCATGGTTTTTAGCTTTCCTTACAGCTCTTACTTGGTTCCCAGAGGTCTTTCTCCTCAATGAGTAACTGTCCTCCAGCTATCTCAATTCCGGGTCCCAGAGAGGCTGTGAGCTGCTGCCTGCTTCTGCTTCACCATCTTGTCTTTCTCAGTACTCTAGACTTTCCTCTGAAATCTGAAAAAGATTGCCCTAGAATTAAGAATAACAAAATAAAGTATGAAGAAAATATAAATCCAGGCTTCAAGGTAACCAGTAAATGATATATCTGTTCAAGGGAAAATAACTGACTGTGTCACCTGTAAAGTGTTTCCTCCATAATACACAGTGTACAATGAAACACTGACAAATTGAGAAGAAACAAGGAGCCGTGCTACATAGTCAAAAGAAAAAGCAGTCAGTGGAAGTAGGTCTAGATGATCTATATGTTAGAATTGGCAGGCATGAACTTTAAAGCTATTCTAAATATTTCAAGGACTTCATAGAAAAGGTAGTCATAATGAGTAAAGAAATGGAGAGTCTTTGTAGGAAAAAAAATAGTATTAAAAAGCATTCTAGAATTGAAAAGTATAATGCCTGAATGAAAAATTCACCAGATGGACTAAACAGGTTGGAGATGCCAGAAGAAAAGTTCATTGAGTTTGAAAACAGATCAGTGGAAATTAACCAATCTAGGAACACATAGAGAAAAGATTGGTAGAGTAAATGTGGAATAGTGTCAGGTATGATTGATATCCTGGAGGACAGTAAAGGAAGAATAGGATAGAGTCAGAATTTTTGAAGAAATAATGGCCGAAAATTTCCCAAATTTTGTGCGGGGGGGAAACAATATCTCACAGATTCACAAAGCTCATTGAACTGTAAGTATAATGAATGCAGAAGAAACTACACTCAGATCTATAATAAGCAAATCAAAGAGAAAACCTTGCAAGCAGAGGAACAGAGTATAAGGTACATACCAGTGAACAGCAGTACAGTTGACAGCTAATTTCTCCTAAGGAGCAACCAATGCCAAAAAGAAAAGAAAAATAGAATGACATCTTTAAAGGGCTGAAAGAAAGTTTTTATCCTAGAATTATTTTGAAAATTTCCCTCGAATATGAAAATATCCTTTAGTTAAATACAATCTGAGAGATTTCATTGTGAACAGGCCTTACTATAGGAAATGCTACAAGAGATTCTTCAAGCTGAAGGAAGTACCTGTTATAAAATTATAACTGTAGAATAAAGATTAGGTATTTCTTAAGAAATCACTTCAGCCAAATTCGTCTCAATTTAATCATATTCCTACTCCAAATCCAAGCCAGTCTTTTGGTAAATATGGAAACGTTGACCCGGAAACTTACATGGATGGGAAGAGAAAAGGACTTAACATAGCAGAAGCAAGGTTGGAGAGGTAAAGTTTGGGGCCTCATTTTAAAACTTACTATAAAACTGCGATAGTCAAGGCCATAATTTTAGCATAAGAGGGAGATCTGTGGATAGACAGCAGTCCAGAAGGAGACACGGTTTTTACAAAAGTATCAAGACAGTTGAGTAGGGAAAGAAAGGGCTTTTCAACAAATGGTGTTAGATGAATATAGAAGGAAAATGAGCTTTACCCCACCTCACACTGCCATAAAATTTCACACATAAAATTTAATTTAGGATAAGGAAGTCATAGACCACAGTGAAAATGTGGGTGAATGTCTTTGCAGCAACGCAAGGATTTCTTAAAGAAGACGTTGAAAGTATTGAACATTTTTCTTACAAAAGGTAGTTGATGTTCTTAACCACTTACAGTGTATTATTTAAGTACAAGATAACCAAAAATTGCATTCTTTCATTAATTTTTTTAAGATAATAAACAGGAAATAGAAAAACAGCAATTTTATCAAATGTATTCAGTACAAGAATCTGCAGGTTGAAATGACAGCTGCCTTAGGGATACTCAGGAGAGTCATCACGCAAACAGACTCACTGCCTGAGTGACGCTTGGGCACACTGTTCAGTGGTAAAAGATAAGGGCCTCCTTGCGTTTTCTCTTGTCCTCATATCGTTGTTCCTTTTTCTTTTTTTTATGACTAGCTTCTTTCACTTAGCGTAATGTTTCAGACATTTGTTCACATCACTCAGTACTTTATTCTTTTTATGGCTGAATAATATTCTAGTGAATGGGGCAACCCATTTGGTACCCCTCCTGTCTCTCAGGACCTATTCCTATTCCCCATTCCTTTTCTCAATTAATTTTCCTTAAAAAAATATATAGAGAGATATACGTATAGATATATAGCTATATAGATATTCTAATAAATGGACACATGTCACATTTTGTGTATCTACTTACCAGTTGTTTCCAGTTTGGGGCTATTACGACTAAATGCTGCTGTGAACTTTCATTTACAAGTTTTTGTATGGATGTAAGTGCTCACTTCTCTTTGCTGTATACATAGGAGTGGGATCAGTGTGTTACATGGTAAATCTGTTCAACTTTCTGAGGAAGTAATGGGTTTTTTTTTTTGGTACTGGGAATTGAACTCACGACCTCATCCTTGCCAGGCAGGGACAGTGCCACTGAGCTAAATCCCTAGTCCCAGTAGTGACATTTTTAACTGAAACTGGATTAGAGTCATTTAATAGAATTTAATGCACTCACGTTTATTGTGATTGCTGTGACTACTGTGCTTGTGTTTTCTACTTAACTGGGCTTTTCAATTTATTGGAATACTTAAACATGCTTATGTGCTCATGTGTAGTGTGTCCAGAAATGAATAAAAACAGCAATTTTAGGTTATGTGCATACTTCGTATATCCAGCAAATTTAAAGATAAAAGGTACCTGTAAAATTTTAAAATTTGCTGCTAGGATACTTGTGGTGTCCTATGTAGAATACTACCGGAAGGTGCATTTCTCCTGTGACCCACTTCATTACACTCCTGATTTCATGGGGGCCCTGTTTGTTGCATGTGTGTGTCTCCTTCAGAGTGCTGCCTTTCTTTTTCTGTTTGGTGGTCATCTTGGCAGTTTGCTCATTTTTGTCCTTCACCAAACGTTCACCTAGTTAAGTAGCTTTACTGCCAGTGGTCATAGGGTTGGACAGGACACGCTGTTGACGGACAGGCGTACTGGTACTTGTCTCCTGAGGGTCAGCAGCTCCTGTGACACTGCGCTACTCTGCAACCCTCTGTGCATCCTTGCTGCCCCAGCCTGTGGATGTGTGGCCCTGCTGTTCCGGAGGCAGCTTACCTGTTAACCATCCTGATGTGTGTCCGCGTCCCTCCAGCTCCGGCTGTCCGTGCCCACTGCTGCTGGCTTGAAACTCTCCCCTCGGCTCTCCTGTGTTTTCAAACATACTGTCCTGCGTGTGGCTTGGGCTACGGCTCCCTTCAGCTACTCTGTCCCTGCCTGCCCGTTATCCTTAAAATGTTACTTGTCTGCTTCCAGGAGCTTATTGATAGTCCTTTCTTAGTTTCCTATGCATTTATGATTTAGATTTTTTAAATACTTATTACACATAAATGTTATTTTCTCAGGAAAATTTTCCATAACCACCCAGCTTAAAGTAACTTAACAGTTACTTCTGTCACCTGACCTCTATTTATTTTCACTGTAGCATTCACCCTTAGCTAACATTTACTTGTCTTCTGTCATCTTTCAGATCTAAATGAAGGCTCCATTAGGGATCTTACATATTCTAGTTACTCCTTTATCATAAATGGCTAGAGCAGTGTCTGGTATATAGTAGGTATTTAATATATAACTTTAATATTATATCTGCTTGAATTATTTAAATTTTAGATTTTATACCAGGAAACTGGCTTAGCATATGTTCTATATTAACCTCTGTATTCAAGACAAACAATCCTTTACTAGCCAAATAATTTTCTTTGCCGAAAAAAGGTATACATCAATCTGTTGGATAATATAAAATGTAAAGTTCTTAATCTCCAGCACTTCAATTTGTATGTCACTGAAGCAAAGCTTGAGGGGGAAATAAAGCAAAGCATTAATCTTCTAAGAATAGCATCATAAAGTGACCAGAAATAACAAGTATATTTGTGCCTCTAGTTTCCATAATTATACGAGGTACAACTTATACTTGTGCCTTCTTATTATGGAGCTGCTTTAACAAACCAACTTTCCCTGGCTAATTCCCAAACCCTTAAATTATAGTAAGGATTTACTCTACCAGGTACAATTTTTGCATTTATGCCCTGCCTCTCTTATTGTAAGTTTTGTGGGTTTAGTTATCTGACCAGCCAATATGTGATAGTAGTCATAAAGTTTTTTTAGTTTAAGACATTGTTTTGAAGGTTAATTCCTCAATTAATAGATTGAAAAACATAGGAAAATCTACTCAGGTGGTTGTATTCTTTATATATAATGACTCCCATGAGAGAAAATTCCATTTTTCAGCCTCTCTTTGAATGGGTCCTTACTGATAAGTATTTTAGTTGTTTCAGTTTTCATATAGTTAATGTTACAAAAGTAGTAGCATTTTTATTTTCTATACAGTGATAAAATTTATTTCCACACTTCAAAAAATATTTTATTTTGAAAAAAGTGAAGTCACTATAAAACAACAATCAAAATTCTTCTGTTCTCACAATACAAAAATATTTATATACATTCCACCTAGAAGATTACTGTAGGTTATATATACTCCTGCCATCAAAAGAAAGAGCTTAAACCTTACAGAATTAACCTCTTACCTTTGTAATTCTGATGAAACTGTGTTAATTTTGTGCTTTATTACTTAGGCAAAGATGCAATTTATACAATTCCAGTAAAAAACATTCTTGCTGTGGAAAAATTAGAAGAGAGTTCTTTCAACAAGAAAAATGTAAGTCATAAGAATATTCAAAGCATTTTAAACTACATATATGTAAAACTTAGTTGAACATTTTTAAGTTGTTGTAGTGTTTGCCATAATTACTAATAGCTTATAAATTGCTAACTCAAATTGTTTTAAAATTGTCCAGTTTACTAAGAATACTTCTCTCAGGTTAGTTTAAAAATTCTTTCTCTACTGTCAGACTTTTCTCTATGACACTGAAGTCTCAGTAACATAGTCCCAGCCTATCTGTTCAACTGTCTTCAGCTTCAGCTCAGTACCTGTAATATACTCAAACCAAGCAAGACCACGTCCTTGCCCCTCAGGACTTCCCCATTGCTTTGCCTTTCCTCATCTCAGATTCTCTCCCTTTCATTCTTACTGTGTGACAGACCATTCCTTCTGGTCGTGTGTGACTTCTGAAAATTACATTCTAGTGTACTGCTCAATGCCATATAACTTCAGTGGCCTTTGGAACTAACTTGATTTTTTAAAAAGTAATAATGCATAGGATACCATAGGTTATCTAGCCAAGCAAACTAGATCTTTGTTAGGTAGTTTTTCTGTTTTGTGTATTGTGTTTTGGTTCTTAAGACTTTCTCACTAACTTTTTATCTTAATTGCCTGTGAAGATGTTCCAAGTAATACATACAGAGAAACCACTCTACGTCCAGGCCAATAATTGTGTGGAAGCTAATGAATGGATAGACGTACTTTGCAGGGTGAGCCGATGCAATCAGAACAGACTTAGTTCCTTTCATCCTTCTGCATATCTCAATGGACTCTGGCTCTGCTGTCAGGAGACTAGTGAAAACACTCCGGGCTGCAAGCCGTGTACTGCGTAAGTTTCTTACTGATGAAAAAAGCATTGTTTCACAACGTGGTATATCCATACAGTAGAATATTATTTGGCTGTAAAAAGGAATGAAGTACAGATACGTGCTACACTATGAATGAACCTTGAAAACATTTTGTAAAGTAAAAGAAGCAAGACATAAAGGCCACAGGGCCAGGGATATAGCTCAGCAGCATAAGCGCTTGCCTGGCAAGCCTGAGGTCCTGAGTTTGATTCCCAGTACAAAAAAAAAACATAAAGGCCACATATTACATGGAAAATTTTATACACAAAATGTCCAAAGGCATTTGTATAGAGACAGAGTAGATTAGTGGTGGCTAGAGTTTGAAGGACAATACAGAGTATTAATGGATACAGGATTTCTTTTGGGAGTGGTGAAATTTTCTAAAATTAACAATGGGTACAGTTTTGTTTTTGTTTTTAAGACAAGATCTTGCTATAAAGTTCAGGCAGGTCTTGAACTATGTGGCTCAGGCTGGCCTCAGATTTGCAGTGAGCCTCCTATCTCAGCCTCCCAAGTGATGGGATTACAGGCGTGTACCACCACGCTAGCTTACACTTCTTTTTAAACCACAAGTACAACTCTGCAGGGCTGGGGGTGGAGTATTTCCCTACTGGGTCCAAGGTCCTAGGTTCAATCTCCTGCACCACCAATTTAGAACACGTATATCTGAGTCTGTGGAAGATACCAAGGAGGAGGGACACTCAGCATTCTGTATCTAATTGTATGGAATACCCGTTGTAGCCCTGCAGACGTAAGTAATAAGGCATTTCTTTTGTGGTGAAGCATGGGTTATGAAAATGACTTTAAAATCCCCCTCCTTAGAGGTGAGAATGTAGCATAATGGTAGAGCATTTGCCTTAGCATCTACAAGGCCCTGGGTTTGATCCCTAGCACCACCAAAAATAATAATCCCCTCCTTACAATCAGTCACATAGTGACCAAACCTCTCTTGGCTCCATTTTAACTATCCATGAAACTAAATTTCTAAAGTTCCTTTTGCAAAATTCTTGTTCGAGTTCTTTGTTTTTTAGTAGTACACGTTTGCAACACGTGATGATGACATTCATTGTGGGCAGTTGGTACATGTACATATCTTAGTTCTTTTTATTTCTTTTTCTTGTTCAAGTGTTTGTTTTGTGGGGGTTGCTGTTGTCTTGTCTCTGAGACAGGGTCTTGCTGTGCCATTCAGGCTGGCCTTGAAATCACTTTGTAGTCCAGGCTGGCCTCAAACTCACAGCAGTCTTCCTGCCTCGGCCTCCCAAGTGTTGGGATCACAGGTATGCACCACCACTCCCAGCTTATTCAGGTTTTAGTCTCAAATCATCAAAAGTTTTTGACCTGTTTACAAAGTTACTTTTGTCGAATGCCTTTATTTGGTTTTAAATTTTTATTCTTATTACACTCATTGGGTTACACTCTTCATAAGGAGTTGTATATGCACATAATATACCTTAATTCTTTTTGGTTCCTCTCTCCTCTCCCCCTTCCTCATCTCTTGATTCCAGTGTGTGTAATTTCACTTTTGCAGAGGCATCCCTGCAGACATCCAAATAGATATTGATGAAGACAGAGAAGCAGAAAGAATTTATTCCCTGTTTAGCCTCAGTTTGCCAAAACTGCAGAAAATGGAAGGTAAGTGCACAGCTAATCTATTTTTACAACAACATGACCTGTTATTACCAGTTCCTCAATGTTGCTTTGGCGTTACAAACAAAATTTTGCAGACTCAGAGACTTACCAAAATGGTACTTACATAGTTCATGAAACTCCAGAGGGACATTTTCACTAGATATTTATGAAGTGAAATTACTCTTTTTACAAATGTGATATCCCAGTTAGTAAATATGTATTTTTTAGTCATCCGTTCACTGCCCAGGGAATCCGCCACAACTTGAGACACGTGACATCTTTTATTAATATGACAAGTTACATTTATGGAATTTAGTTTTCTGACCAGAGATTTCACTTTTCCTTGTAGAGGCTTGTGGAACTATAGCTGTCTATCAAGGGCCACAGAAAGAGCCCGATGATTATTCTAACTTTGTAATTGAGGATTCTGTAACAACTTTTAAGACAATTCAACAAATAAAAAGCATCATAGAGAAGCTGGATGAACCTCATGAAACATACAGGAAGAAAAGATCAAGTAGTGCAAAATATGGGAGCAAGTGAGTATTGTTTAAACTACTGTGAATAGACTTTTTAAACAGTTTGAAATTGCCTTTCCTACGCTATCCTTCACAGCTGCCTGCAGGACTCCTGGTTGCCCACCTCTGTCAAGACCCGGCCCAGAGTCACTATCTCGTAGAATTTCTCTGCAACTCACACTTAAAGCATCCCTGGTCTTTTTCAGCTCAGCTGTCAATTCATTGTGTTTGTGTTGCACTTTTATCACCACTTCAAGTGTTATGTTGAATTTTAATTTAGTACTTGAATATTTAAGCTACTTAAAATCAGCCTTCAGAGTGCTAGAAGTGTTTTATAGTTGATTGTGTGAATCCATCTCATAGAAGAAAATACAGCAGATAATAACAGCAATAGGTAACAATTATTGGAGTTTACTCCACCGGGGCACTGTGCCTACTGTATTTTACATCATATCATTGAGATTGCTGTCAGCAGCAAGTAGCAGAGTCCTGAGTGGCACTGCAAGAAATTCTTTAGTCTCACAAATTAAGTCCTAATACTTATGATCGGTTGGTTGAGCCACTCATCAGTGTCATCAAGAAAAATCTGCCACGCATCCACCCTCATCAGTGGTTTCTGTCCTCCTCAAGCTTGCTTCCTCGTGGTCGCGGGTGAGCTACAGTAGTTCAGAACGCCACGTTTTTCTCTGGTGGCATCCAGAGGCAGAAAAGGCTGTTCCTTCTTAGCAAAAGAGAAGAACATGTCTGAAGCCTTCCCTGAAACACAGGCTGCCCAGTACTAAACCAGAGTCAGGGTCTTGTTTACAACAAAGTAGGTAGCATTTGGTTATTGGACCAGCAAATAACGGTATTTGCCGCAGTGTATATCACTTTCTCGTTGATCCTCACATCAGCCCAACCTGATTTTATTTCCATTTTATAGCAAGAGAAACTGAGACTTGGGGATAGTAAATGCCTTGACCTAGGTCACACAGCTGATTAGTAGGAGGACTCTGAATTTTAATACTCTGAAAATTGTGGGCATTAATTGTATTTATAAACATTACAAATCAGTTTGACAGGTTTAACTATTTATGATCTTCCTGCACAGAAAGCTTAGTACATTAGGAAGGTTTAATGTAAACGTCCTAATTCTTTTATATTAGTATAATTGGTTCTCTTTCACCATCAGTAATCCAGTTTTCTTGGAGCCCTGAGGAGTTTCTATATGAAGACTAGCAACACCTGACCACCCTTCTTATCCCCACCATGCCCGTGCACACTGTACCCCAGCCCGGCTTTATTAAAAAATACCAGCCTCTTGCACTAAATATTTTACTTATTCTACTTCTTTCTTTACCAGAATGTAAAGCTCCATGACAGCAAATGTTTCATGTTTTGTTCACAAGTGTATCCTTGGCTTCTAGAATAGTTAAATTTAATGAAGTATTCAGTTAATACTTGTTAAATTAATAAAACCGGATTCAGCATGGTAGTTGATATGCATTAATTATAGTAAAAATGATGTGGGACTGAGAGGCCATTGAAGGGAAATTACAAAGTTCTGTGTCTGTATTGGTTCTATATCACTTTCTAAATCTTACATTTTTTAACTTACAAACTATGATTTTCTTTTAATATTTTCTAGGGAAAATCCAATTATTGGGAAAACCTCTTAAGAGTTTGACCAATTGATGCGGAAGAACTGGAAAATACTCTTTTTTTCTTGGAGCTTCTCAGTTCATCGTGTATTTTGTTCATAGTATTTAAGAATGAACATTAGCTTCGGTGTCACCTGCGTTCACATTATATTTAATATTTAATGATTGAAATTAACTGTTTGGAAATCCTGGTTTTAACGTATTATTAGAGAATTTGCAATCCAAGATTTCCTTCATATCGTGTGTGTCCAAATTCATATTTCTGCAACTTCTTAATAGAATCTTCCTAAAGAAGTTTCTTAAAGAAGCTTTTTAACAAAGGGAGCACTTCTCCATAGCAAGAAACCATCTCTTCTTGTAACACTGTTCTGTGGACTTCTTTTCACTACCATTAGTGCCTGCTCTATACTGCCAACTTGTATTTTACTAGAAAATTCCAATCCACGTCAATTCAGAGCTTCCCATTAGTTGACCTGAAACCTCCATCTTTTATAGAAGAGAAGAAAATTCTTTTTCTCCTTTGGTCCATTCATCATTACAGGTTACGTTAGAGACAGAACAGAAACTAGAAAACTGCCAGAGCACCCTTGAAAGTGGTAGATCCTTTTGCTTCCCAAAAGATGTCAGCAGAACTCAGGAGGAATCAGGGAACATGTGCTATGGCGTGCATCATGTTTACATTTGGGGTGAGTGATAGCAGGTGAAAGAAAAGGAAACCACTGAAATGTTTTCATTGTTTTAAATATCAGGTACTCATTTTTTTATTTGAGATTTCAAATTAACATGACTTCTGAGGAGCTCTCTTCTGAACAAGAAGAGAAAGTAAACGGTGAAAGAAGGTGGCGGGGAGATCGCCTGACCTCACTGCTCCTTCGTGTCAGAATAAGGGCACCGTCAGGACGCCCTCCTCATAGTGTTAGGTGGGGATCTAACTCAAGAAGAGTCACTCAGCGCACTTTAACAATCTGGCCTCCTCCAGATTATACTTTAGATACTCCGTGTATCTATCTTTATGATCAGTTGAATGATCAACATGTAAATCTAGAAATAGTGCTTTCCTGAAAATGTTTCTATTTCTTTGCTATTTCCATATTGCCCGCTAGCCAAATGGAATTTGGTTTGAATCTTATTTTTCCTTAATTTACTTTTATCCTAAAATCCATAACTGTAAATAAGCAGTCGAAGCAAGTTGCCACCCTGAAGAGGAGGAATATACTTTGCTTCATCAGTATTAAAAATTGTGGTACTCTTTATTCTGTCTTTTTTAATTCAGAACATTTTCTAAATGTGGTACCTTGAACCTTGGAGTATGTTCCTGTTTAAAACTGTGACTTATTAATGTAAGTCTAGCTAGAAGTGCTTTTTTTTGTATCCCTGAGCATAAGCTATCTTTCACAATATATTTGCCAATTATATTATTGGTGGATATTTTTAAATCGTATTGTTATTAGGTCATTATTTTTGAAGACCATTGGGACACAATCAATTTTCCATCAGTGATCATAACTGAACAATGTGTTTCTCTATGTGACTTGCAAAGATCAATTGGTTATGTTTAAGAATCAGTACTGTTTTGCATTATGATAGGTTATTATTCCTGGCTCATACTAAAGTTTGGAAGAACCCTTTTAATTTTATGAACTTATAGGTTCCACGGACTATACTAATTTATATATGTGAAAGAATTTAGCCATTTAGTAAACCTCTCATGAATTTCATTCAGATGAAAATTCCTTTTTAAGATTCTCTAAAATGTCTGCCCGTAGAAGGACACATGAGCACTGCCATGTGTCCCTAATACTGGTTGGTGGTTCCTTCATCTCCTGCTGCATTTTTGTTTGGGAGAGTTAAATTTGCTGGGGAGGAAGGCAGAAGAAATACGCTTCTGACCTTTCTAATATCAAATCCCTAGTTATGATTACTTTCAAAGACCCCAGCATACTCAAAGGGAACCACTGCTGTCCCTGTACATAACAATGGCTCTGAAGGAAAAGTCCGGTCATCTGGCTGTTTTCCTCACACACATATTTGAATGAATAGTTTGAGTGAAATTAATCAGTTTGGCACAGCCTAAAAAGAAAAATACGAAATTACATTTTCTTTGAAAACGTTTTGCAATAAGCACCCGTGTCAGTAGGACCATAAGGCAGCCACAGACCTTGCTTCCAGAGGCCTCCTTCCTCTGCTGCTGCTCATGAGTACTTGGAGGTTTGCTGTACCTGATCTGCTTTCTCTCCCTTTCCCACAAGTTTTTTTTCAAAGTACATGGCAGCTTACTTCTCCCCGCTAAACTTGGAAACCACAGGGAGGACAGAAAAGGGTACGGGAGAACTCTCGCTGTAAACACCAGTTCTGACTCTTAGTTTAGCCGTTTCCATTAGTTGAAATTATGATGATTTGTACCTTGTTTTGTTTTTGTTTAGCTTTGTTTTTTAGTATTCATTTGATAAGATAATGGGCAGTAGCAGAGGTTTGTACTCCCGGGAATATAACTTTATCAAGTCAAACTATTTTATTTGCCAAAGAAGCATATTTTTAATATCACAGGTAATGGTTATGTGTCAAAACTAGGCTCTTTTTGTTCTACAAAAAAAATATATATATATATATGGACAGATGATGTGGCTTTTGTTTCATTTTCTGAAGCCTGGTTTCATTCTTTACTAGAAAAGCTCTTTCATGCCAGGTTTTGAAAAACAGATTGTTTTTTTTAAAGTGAAAGCACCTTTAATTTGCTCTAACGGTACCTCCTGTAAAGACAGTTGTGCATAGCCTTTTAGGTGTCCTTACAGTATGTGAAAAATACAAGACTCATTCTAGAGTTAAATTACCAATCTTAATTGATGTTACCTGCTTCCATTTTTAACTTGGAAATTAATATGTTGCTAGTAAATATTGGTTTTTACAAGTGTCCAGTTTGAAAATGTAAGTTATCAAACTTAATATAGTGAATTTGTGTAACCATGTTGTATTGTTGAGAATGTATTTTTATTTAAATTTTATTTTCTTATCAAGAGTATTATAAAATTAAAATCTTTTGTAACTGTCGCTTGAAAATAACTCAAATAAATTACAAGAAGCCTGTCTTTTCTCGGTGAGCCTGTCTTTTTCCTGCTGAGAATCTCTTGTTTAAAATCGCTGTGCCTGGCCGGTTCAGGCACGAGAAGTCTCCAGTAACCAGCAGAATAAGGCCGTCTGCGAAGCTCGGCGCTCCTCCCTCGCAGCTGACGAGGCTGGGTTTTGATGGACCGCGTTCCGTTTTGTGCGTGCCGTCACCACACTTGCTGTGAGGAGCTGAGTGTTCAGGTAGCACGCACACGCCTGTCACCCCAGCAGCGTGCACACGTTTGGAGGGGTGTACTGCCCTGCAGTCTGGGTGAGTGATTTAGAGCCGAACCCGTGTTTTACGTTTTGAAGAAGCCACTTTCTGTTCCCAAAAAGTCATCATCAGAACCGCTGTCTCTTCAGGTCCTACACTGAGCACCACGGGTTACCTCACCCCATAGCTGGCTCCCATTCTTCGGCCTTCTGGGTGTTAGAATTTGACTGTCTTGTGCCCTTTTGATGACTAACTAGAAGGTACAAAGTAACAGCACCAGAGACTAGGTTACTGGGACATCTCTGCCCCCAACATGAGAAGCCGGGATTTTTCCTATTAGTGCCTCAGCAGCCCTTTTAGCATCCCTAAATAACCCTCTTATAAAACACAGCAGCCCTTTGATTCCAGAGGTATTTAAATAAGGCTACCAATGAGGAGGGATTAAGGGTCTGAATCTCTAAGGGTCTTCTTTTTATTGAAACATCGGCATCCCTCTTATACTTTCCCAGGTGTAGAATAGACCTTGTAAGAAGCATCAGACCCAAGGTTCTGTCCTAAGATGTAAACAAGCTAGTGTTTCAAGGGAGAGGAGCCATACTTCAAGTTTCCCTTTCCAAATTATACGACTCCAAAGTGAGAAACACGTGAGGCTAAGCAGAACGCTTACACAGGGAAAAACGAGGCATAAATAGGCAGTGCTGGCATGCCGCCTTCCACAGCACACCAGTGGCTAGCGCTGGAATTCTGCAAGCCTTTCAGAAGACACCCTGTTTGGTGGCCGTGGGATACTTCAAGATAAACTGACTGATTGTGCAGAGGTCTTTAGTCCTCACTCTTCATACCCATCCTTTCCTGATCAAGAAGAACAAAGGGACTGGAGTGGCCAAGACAGGATGGAGTGGGGTGCTGACAGGCAGGGACCAGGCCAGGGAGCTACTGAGTAACGTGGCCCGTCTTCCTCCTTGGGATCGCTCTGACTATTGTGTCACGTTTCAGGGAGACCAAAGGAGGAAGCCAGTGGGGATGGGCTAGACTAGAGCAGCCATGAGGCGAGGTCAGGTTATAGTTATTACAGAACCACTAGAATTTGTTGACAGGTGGAATGTGAGGGAAAGAAGAATCTAGAAGATCCAGTAATAGGAAATTGTTTCCTGACATGCAGACAACTTCAGAAGGAGCAAGTTTTTATGTATCTTACCTATGTGCATCTTAATGGTTCTTGGGAAACAGCTCCATTTAAATCACTTGTTAAATACCAGCACATACTTTATCTAGTTTTTTTTTTAGATTTATCTCATTTCCTTGCTAGCTTATAAATATTTCTAGTGTAAGGAGGGGCTTGTTTTGTTTTGAGGCATGGTCTCACTGTATACTCCACGCTGGCTGTGAACTCACTGTGTAGTTCAAGTTGGCCTCAAACTCCTGGCAGTCCTGCCTCAGCCTCCCAGTTACTGGAACGACAAGCATGCATCACCACAACCAGCAAAGCAGGGGCTTCAATAAACCTCACAACCTTTTGCCCATCAATGAGAAAGTCTCAGTAAATATTCTATGCAGGAGGAACATACTATAGCCCTTGATGAAGGAGCAAGGGCTTGGCTGAGTCATGATTCAGCTGGAAACACCATGATCATGAGCGGATCACCTCTTTGGGTTTTGATTTCCCTAAATAGAGAGTATTTTAACACTAATGTCTAAAAAAGAGCCCTTGCAGGTGCTGGGGATTTAGCTCAGCGGCAAAAGCACCTGCCTGGCAAGCGCAAGGTCATGAGTTCGGTTCCCGGTACCGGAGAAAAACCAAAATAAATAAATAAATAAATAAATAAATAAAAAGAGCCCTTGCTACACCTGAAGCCCTGTGCTAACCCACTAACGCTCTCTCTGCTCACAGTCAACCTGGGGATGGGGAAGTTTAATACCTAGACAGTCCCTGAGTTCCCTCCTGCCCTTCCCAAATATTTGTGTAGATAATTTGATTTCTTTAGTGAACCCTTTTGAGGCAGAAGATTAGGGCGTGGCAAAGCAGCCTTGCAAGTGGGCACAACCTGTCAATCATGGGAATTGAGGACACGTGCACTCAGGCCCTGCACCTGGGACCATCCAGAAAATGGTATCTTCGATTCTTCTATGAGAAGTCAGGCAGGATTTTGATAGGCTGACCTAGAGCTGACAGCCTAAAAGGGGGACAGTAAAAGCCACCATTTAAGCTCATGGCTGCTGGGCTGTCTCCCTCGGTAGAGTGTACTTGTTTTCCAACTTTTGATTGGTCCACATTCACCCTGCAGAGGCTATTTCTTTTCCTACCTTTAAGAAAAGTAAAACTTCGCTACCTTCTGTGCATTTCTTGACCAATTCTTTGTTCAGGATAACAAGAACCTAGAAGGAATCTCTGAAAGGAGTCCACAGCACCCTGGTAATACTTCCTTTCTGTGGGGCAGTGGGGATTTAGCTCAGCGGTGCAGCACCTGCCGGGCAAGTGTGAGGTCCTGAGTTTGATTCCAGGTACAAAAAGAAAAAATGTTTTTGGACTTCTTCCCAAACTCAGTGACTGTGGACCTTAACAACAGTGACACGCTTGGACCTGTAGGACGTCTTACTGCCCTTTGAGGAATTGACAGGACAGAGTCCTGGTCATTCATGAGTCAGCTGACTTACAGGTGAAACAGCCTGGTGTAGGAGAAGCCAGCACCTATTCTACCAGGAGATGTGAACAAAAGGCAGCCTGCACCTCAGAGCTGGCCTGAAGTGGGAGCTCAAGAGACTGACAGTTGCATTCTAATGTCACCTGTCACCGAAAACATTTTGAATGATACTGAGCCCTCCCAGTGTCGGGCCCATTCTCTGGCTAGCTTTGTTTCCATTGCTTACAGGGAGTGTGGATGAAATGAAACCTGTGGCCAAACTGGGCGTGGTAGCACACGCCTGTAATCGAAAGCACTAGGGAGGCTGAGGCAGGAGGACTGTCATGAGTTCAAGACCAGCCTGGGCTACAAAGTGAGCTCAAGGCCAGCCTGAACTGCACAGGGAGACCCTGTCTCAAAAAGACAAAAAAAAAAGAAAGAAAACCTGTGGCCAGTAATAATGTAAAGACCACTGGGGGACTCAGTTGGAGTTTTTTGGGTAGACCTTTAAAAGAAAACTAAAAATGCTGAATTTCAAAAACATTTGCACCAACGAAGCAGATGAAAATGAAGCAAATCATTCACTCTCAAACTAATTTTTATGATTAAATGCCTTTTTAATTTGTATCTTGAAATTTTTTAATACATTTTATTCTACTGAAAATGCTTAAGGAAATGTAAGTCATGTTCAGTTATGCATCTGAAATGTTCTGTCCCTCCGTTTGAAGAATCCACGTGCTGAGGAATAGGTGGAAAACGTTTACAGAGCTCTGAAATGCAGTAGGAAAGCAACCTATACAACTTGCGTACTCTTAAGTTCTATACAACAGTCAACAAAAGCGCCAGAATTCAGTTAACCCACGTTTTTTCAGCTATCCTCGCAAAGGGAGAGAGGTTCATTATAATTCCAAGAATGTTTCCTCAAACCCAGACCCAGTTTTCCTGCAGTTTTCTGCAATTCCAGCTCAACCAGCCCCATAGAGTAGAGCATGAGAGAAAGAGCTTGTCCTTTGGCATCCTCTCGCTGGAATACTTCTCTCATCCGAAGATGACAAAATGAGCTGGAAGGTTGGGAAGGGAGATCTCCAGGCAAGTAAGGAGCTCTTGGAAACCTGATCTGCAGCAACTTGAGACCCTACCACCCTCCCTGGGGCTCCAGGGGCTCTTTAAGGGCTACACAGGTGAGTTTAAAAGGTCATTAGTATCAGCCTTCTGCTGAACTAATGGACAGAAGAAATTTTAACTAAAGGATCTTATTCCTAAGAGGCCTGACACCATGTCTGCATCATGGGAGGAGCCCCAAACACTGCTGGCCCTCTTTCGGCCCCTTGATGCTAACTCAGCTGGTGGGGCTTTTGACTTTGAGAGCCGCTGGCTGCTCTGCCTTTGGACAAGGCTGGCTTGTCCTGAAACAAAGCAACACCTGAGCTATTTGCTGTATTCCCTAAGAATTGTGGTTCCCAACTGGAGGGATTGTCGCCTGCCCCGTGCCGGGGACATTTGGCAATGTCTGGAAAAAAATGTTTGGTTATAACAAGTAGGGGATTCCTATTGGCCTCTGGTGGGTAGAAACCAGATAGGCCACAAAGCAGGGTACAGGGTACAGAACAGCCCCCATGACAAAACAGGACTAGGTCCGAAATATCAACAGTGCCAAGTTTAGAAGCCCTGCCCACAGACACCAAAGGAGTGGCACAAACAGAAAAGTGGCGTTGGGGCAGCCGGGAAAGAAGCACAGGGATAAATCAGGCTTCGGGATTTTAAAAGATGTGCACCCCGACCTGGGCGCCTCGCACTGGGTCTCTGGATATGATTGATCAGTGCCGTCGGGTCAGGGACTTCTAGCACACAGGCCCGTGCCAGAGCTCACTGATTAAATTATATACACACACGAGATGTTTGTCCGTAGGTGTGGACCGTTAACAAAGTTTAAATGGGGAAACTTACTGAAAAGCCAGGAGATCTAATGCCCTGTGCTCTGGCCTGGAACTATAGAGATTTTCAAGGTCTTTGTTATTTTTATTTCTGCTTCTCTTAGGACGGAGAGGAATGGCCCCTGGGTGCCGCCCCCACGTGTATAGATGGAGGGGAAGTGGTCTCTGTATGGCCCCTGGGTGCCGCCCCCACGTGTATAGATGGAGGGGAGTGCAG